CAAATGGGCCAAAACACGAGGACAGACAGAGGTCGTCGGGGTGGAGGAACGTACTTGATATCAGATGAGTCGTGGTCACCGCCCTTGCCCGCAACACATGTCTGACTCTGATCAAATGAAGGAGTCGAGAACAAGTGGCGATCGGTACCACCAGAGGTACAATGCAAGTTAGCTTCTGAAAAATTTAAGTCATTATCAGACTGCTGCACCTGCTGCGGCGGTACGTGTGGCAAAGGGGCGTTAGCGACTGATGTCGGTGACTGACTGGCGGAACAGGCTCCACCGACGACGGGCAAACCCTATGAAACAAAACATGTGCGAAATAACAACAAATGGCAAAGTGCCTTCTGACGTTACCTTCGTATCCATCGTTATGTTACCCGGCGAAGCTGTCACCGTAACTAAACCTTTCGGCAGCTTTTCAGCATGCTTCCGCAATAAAGTAAGGATTTGTTTCGCGAGAGGCGGTGCCACGTCATCGCCGGCAGGGGTGATTAGTCGAACGAGCCTGTTGCCGTCCGGCTTTGGAATTACGTACACCAGCTGCTTCGCTGTCTGTGGCTGAGAATATGGCAATCTAAAAAGAGTTAATTTAATTTAATACTTATGAATCTGAAAATCCTTTATCTAAGCCTCATAACACAAATGCAGGATGTTTCGAATACGCACAATGTTAAATAGTCCATACAGTAAAAATTAACTACGTTATTTTGGGCTTAGTAGCAGAGTGCTAGTTTTCGATACCACCGGCAAGAAAAAGAATTGCACATCGCGTCTCCGGATTCACAATGAGATGTGCTTGCACTGCAGGGGCTAAAGTACCAGAGAGCCGTGGTCCGTTTAAACCGTCCCCTAGGTTCTAGGTTACTATAAGCAAGGAGGTGCAGTGTGACTAAGCGAAGTGAATCGTAAGAAATGACAGGAAATTGCCTGGATTAACTTTTGTTACATACGCCATAGGAGAGAGCTATATCCCTGGTTTTCGAACGTTTTCTCGACTCAACAAAAATATGCGGTTTACGCCTATGCACCTCAGGTGCTAAAATACAATGGAGTTCTGGTATGCCAAAACGGTCCTTGTGGCTTACGAATAAATTCAGACCAGTGAAGGAAGATTGTTAAATAATTCTATAAGCATATAAACTGCTGAAATATTGTAATCATGCAAACTTTTCGTTGTGTAATTACTCATGGCCTAATTACTTTTCTTTGTTTGTTTTCTGCATGTGCTGAAAAATTAAGTTCTGATGTGGCTCCATTCCAACAGTAGACTTTCAAACATTCAAATACCGAAGGTCAATGACCTTACAAATCTTAACAAAATTTGGCAAATCATTTTTAGCATGTTATCAAGCATCTGAAGAACACAAGACAACGAATCGTGAATAAACACGTTAAACAGTAGCAGAACACACCTCACTGGAATTCCAACGCTGTTAACCACGGTCTGTGGCAGGCGCACGACGTGCATAAGCCTGTTGTCAACGCCAACATGATTGAAAAGTTTCGGTAAAACGGTCTGCGGCGTTGAAGACAAAGCCGTTTGTCGTTTGCTGCCAACTGTTGAGTCCGTTGCAGTGCTTGCCGTAATAGTGTTTGATGAAAGAGGTGCGTACGACGACGAACATGCTTCGTTCTCAGATCTCTGAAGTGATCTTGCTGCCTATGAAGAAACCTCAATTAGCAGTTAAAGTTAGAACACATCTGAACGTTACAACGTAAATAAACTCAATGAAAGAACCATGGTAAAAATCCGTGTACTATTCAGTACAAAACCAAGTTAGTAGGCGAACATGCACAAGCGAATACAAAAATTACTGCAACGTCAAATCGAAATCTTTACCTGATGTGATAGATCATTCATAACGAAAACGGTGTCCCCTTTTTTAATGCGCAATAACAAAATTAAATTGCCGCCGCCATACATCCAAAAACAAACTAGGTAATGAATGAGAGAGAGAAAAGGGAAAAACAAAAAGAAAACAAGATTCCAATAAAATATTAAATAAAACGATGAAAAACATTTAATAAAAATTAAATAGTAGAATCCAGATTCATAAGCATGACATTCCATCTGTAAGAAGGATAAAAAATCATTGAAACCGATTTCATCGCTGAAGTAAGCAGCAATAAAAACGCTGGTGATAGCAGATTTCCGCTTTATGAGAACGGAACTGCGCGGTTTCTGGTGTCTGCGTCCCTTACTATCAATTCTGCGCATGTTATAAACCGCATGTTTTAGACTACTGAATTTTCTTCTTGTACATACCGGCTTATGTTCCTTCA